TTGCATTGTGGTAAACTGTGGTCAATGACATGAGACAAAGTATATGTGAACTGCTGTATGGAAAGGGAATTTGCTCTGTAAATCTTCACCCAAATCACAGTAAAAACAAACAAACAAACAAAAATAATACAAAAGCTCTGACATATAAAAAATACATAATAAATTATAATAGTACTTTGCTAACCAAACTCACAGAAAGTGGTTCAAAAAAAAAAAAAAAAAAGAAAGAAAAAGAAAAAAAAAGTGATCTAATTACAGCTAGAATGCTTATTTATCAAAAAGTGTATTTCTCTGGTTTAATGTTGTAGAACACCAAAGAAGTTAGCCTTCATTTTATGAGTCTCTACTAAAAAAATGTTTAATGTCCACCCTACTTGATCTAATAGAATAATTTAATGTGGATTTTTTTTTTTCTCTCTAGGATCTGTGTCTGCATCAAGATCTTCTGAATAACCACAACTACTATTAGGAATGTGTAGTGTTACAAAATGACTAAAACTAATTCTAACAACTTCCATTTTGCTATCATCTTCATGTTAATACTTGAGATCAGAATCCAATTATCTGATGAAAGTGAACTTGTCATTGACAGGTCAAAAACAAATCTCACCCATATTCCCAAAGATCTATCTCTGAAAACAACAAGCTTAGATCTATCACAAAACTATATATATGAGCTGCAGACTTCTGACATCTCATCACTATCAAAGCTGAGGATTTTGATACTTTCTCATAATAGAATCCAGTATCTTGATACCAGTATTTTCAAATTCAACCAGGAATTGGAATACTTGGATCTGTCCCACAACAGGTTGTGGAAGATTTCTTGCCACCCAACTGTAAACCTCAAGCACTTAGACCTCTCATTTAATGAATTTGATATCCTGCCCATCTGCAAAGAGTTTGGCAATATGTCTCATCTAGATTTTCTGGGATTGAGTGCCACACAGTTGCAAAAATCCAGTGTGCTGCCAATTGCTCATTTGAATATCAGTATGGTTCTGCTGGTCTTAGGAGATCTCTATGGGCAAAAAGAAGACCCTGACAGCCTCCAGGACTTAAACACAAAGAGCCTGCATATTGTTTTTCCCAAACAAAAGGAATTCCATTTTGTTCTGGATGTAGCAGCTAGCACTGCAGTCAGTTTGGAACTGTCTAATATAAAATATGTGCCACGTGATAATGAATATTCTTATTTCATAGATGTTTTGTTAAAGCTTCAAAAGAATAAAAAGTTATTAAATCTTACTTTAAACAACATTGAAACAACCTGGAATTCTTTCATTAAGATCCTCCAGGTGGTTTGGCATACAACAATAGAGTATTTATCAATTTCAAATATGATACTAACAGGCCAACTTGACCACAAAGATTTTGATTATTCTGACACTTCACTGAAAGCCTTGTCTATATACCAAGTTTTAAGCAATGCATTCCATTTCCGACAGGATTATATTTACAACATCTTTTCAAATATGAATATCCAAAATTTCACAATAACTGATACACGCATGATACACATGTATTGCCCTCTCCAAATTAGCCCATTTGTGTATTTGAATTTTTCCAATAATCTCTTAACAGATGAGCTTTTAAAAAATTGTGGAAGCTTGACTTCATTGGAGACACTTATTTTACAAATGAATCAATTAAAAGAACTTGCAAAGATAATTCATATGACAAAGAACATGAAGTCTCTACGACAGTTGGATATTAGCCAGAATTCTCTAAGGTATGAAAATGAAGGAAATTGCTCTTGGAGTAAAAGTTTGTTAATCTTAAATATGTCTTCAAACATACTTACAGAATCTGTTTTCAGATGTTTACCTCCCAGGGTTACAGTACTTGATCTTCACAATAACAGAATAGTGAGCATTCCTAAAGATGTCAGTAGCCTGGAAGCTTTGGAAGAACTCAATATTGCTTCCAATTATTTAACTGACCTTCCTGGATGTGATACCTTTAGCAGCCTTTCTGTACTGATCATTGACTATAATTTAATTTCACACCCATCAGCTGATTTCTTCTATACCTGCCAGAAGATTAGGTCAATAAAAGCAGGGAATAATCCATTTCAATGTTCATGTGACCTAAGAGAATTTATCAAAAATTTTGGTCAAATATCAAGTGAAGTGGTAGAGGACTGGCCTGAGTCTTTTGAGTGTGCCTACCCAGAAAGCTATAAGGGAACCCTATTACAGGACTTCCACATGTCCCAATTAGCTTGCAGTACAACTCTGTTAATCGTCACAATTGGGTTCAGTGTGCTGGTGTTAGTTGCTACTGTGACCTTCCTCTGTATTTTCTTGGATCTGCCCTGGTATCTCAGGATGGTGTGGCAGTGGACCCAGACCCGGCACAGGGCTAGGAACATAGCCTTAGAAGAACTCCAAAGAACTCTCCAGTTCCATGCGTTTATTTCCTACAGTGGGGATGATTCTGCCTGGGTGAAGAATGAATTAATACCAAACCTAGAAAAAGATGACATACGGATTTGTCTCCATGAGAGACACTTTGTTCCTGGCAAAAGCATTGTTGAAAATATCATAAACTTCATTGAGAAAAGTTACAAGTCCATTTTTGTTTTGTCTCCCAACTTTGTCCAGAGTGAATGGTGCCATTACGAACTCTACTTTGCTCAGCACAAACTCTTTCAGGAAGCTTTTGATAACTTGATCCTCATCTTGCTGGAACCCATTCCACAGTACTCCATTCCTAGCAAGTATCATAAGCTCAAAACTCTTATGGCACATAGGACTTATTTGGAATGGCCCAAGGAGAAGAACAAACATGGACTGTTTTGGGCTAACCTACGAGCCACCATTAATATTAAGTTGATAGAACAAAAGATATAGATCATACATTAATAATAATAATAATAACAGATTCCTCTTTTCAATGTTGCTGCTTTTGGAAGTTCCAACAAGCTTACTTTATTTTTCATCAATACTAATCTGAGCATAATTATGAATTTGTGATATAACTAAAAATGTGTACTTTGGGTTCCAGTTTACCATTTATAAGTGGCAATAAAATTAATGAAATACTTTATTTTTTATTTTAAAAGTTAGTTAATTTCTAGTACATGATGGATTCACATGTTTCTTTGCTAAGCCTGAGTTCATTGAATTTATCAGATAGTCAAGAGAATACCTGTTTAAACAACTTCAGTGATAAATATTCTTGTGTATCAAGGTCAATGTTAGAAATGTCATGGTTTTACGTGAATAGCTGGGTTTCTGTAGCAATGTTGTTGGTAGTCTCCCTATTTCCACTCTGCATTCACCTCTATATGTTAAAGGTTGCTTACTGTCAAAGCCGGGAGCTCTGGTAGCATAGTGGCTAAGACACTTGCCTGCTAACCAGACGGCCGGCGGTTCAAACCCACCAGCCACTCCTCGGAAGGAAGGTTGGGC